ACAGACATATTAGGTAACATAATACGTTATAAAAACTTGCAACCTTGGTAGTCTGGAACATCGAAAAAAGGTTGGAGATTTGTCCCTCAAAATAGGATATACGTCGGTTCAGACAGTGACGTCATCACAGCAGTCAGGTTGCCTTTCAGTTCGCCCAGTCAACCAGATTGTACCAAATTGTCACGTGGTGTTCTGTCACCTAGCTAGCTACGCGGTGAACCAACCAGAGTGTACCAAGTTGTCACGTAGCATCCTCAAACTGTCACGCAGCTCACCATCTAATCAGAGCGCACGCTTTTGCACTCGCGTTAGATGGGAACCGTGAGAACATATTCAGTAATGTTAGTAGCTTTTGCGGATACAATTCCTAGACTAGAGTTTGTGGCAGCTCATTTTTTATCTCAGTTGGTCAAGGATGTTTCGGTGTTTTCATTCATTTTGTACTTTATTTAGTCGACCCTCTGGAGACACTCTACATTTTGTTTTATGAGAGAGGACATTGGCAGATCAAGATGTTCAGAAGATGTGGTGCTGCAGCGGGTTTTCCTGCAGCTGAAAAAGCAAATGCGCCGCTGGAATCAATGAAGCCGCCCCGGAGCGCCAATTAATTTTTATTGTTGTTTTTATTTTTATCGCTGTTTTAGTAGCTGTCATTGAATCTGAATAAAAATTTTTCCAATCATTCGATTTGACTCACAAACTGTTCTTGTGTAACACTTTGCCAGCTAGAATTAATACTGTCAAAATTAGCGAAAACTTTCTTGTTTGCTGATCCCATCATCATAATAACGTTAATCGCTCGTCTAATAATAGTTCCCTCTCGACTTCATTCAATATTGTGCACGCTCCGATATTAGCTGGAATCCCCGACTTGCTACCTTCATTAGAGCGAACAATAAGAGCAGGCTAAGTGCATGTTTGTTAAATAAGTAATTTACCCAATTTGTGTTCTTGAAGTTGACGATAACAAAGTTCGAGTAAGCTCACCTGGAATGGAACATTCGAAAACGGCGTTGAGTTTCGATATGCCGACGGAAGCGATGTGTTCATGAGTAGGAAGAACAGTTTGCGATCCAAAACTTTGGGCGCTCCAGGTGCTACACGTCGAATAGATTGTTGATGCACCTCGTTAGACCATAAACAACGTTTGTATAAGAATATATAAACTTTTAATAACAGAATGTAGCCATACAGCTCTGACGATAACCAAGGATATACACCGAAATGGAAATGTCCAAAAAATGAAGAGGGTGTTCAAATTTCGCATATTACGTACATTTAATTAGCGATTAATTTGTGTGCATTCTTGTATCAAACATATGTTAATGGCTATTAGGAAAGTTGCTGAAGATGATGGCATATCGGTTGGCATTTTGGGTTTGAAGCATATGTCAGCGAAGTTAGCTTCAAAATTGCAAAATTTTGATCAAAAAAACCGTCTCAAGATCATCGCTCAGGAATTGTTGAATGACGTCAACGGCGATTCAGATTTACCTGAAAAGGTGTCGGCTGGAGACAAATCATGGTTATATGGTTATAACATCGAAATCAAAGTTCAATCGTCCCAATGGAAGAGCTCAGGAGAGCCAAGGCCACAGGAGCACGGCAAGTTCGATCAAATGGCAAGGTTTTGCCCACTATTTTCTTGGATAACCGCGACGTAGGGCATCAGGAAACATGGTCGTATGGTCAATAGAAAGTATAAATTTGAAGTCATGCGCCGCTTGTGAGGAGGAAAACGAAGAAAACGTCCTGTATTGTGGCTTTCGCCACAATACAGGACGCTTTCGCTGTAGGAGCCAATCCTGGAAGATTCGGCCAGAAGTCGATGAATCTTCTTGCCATCCAGGTGTTCCATCTTTGTTTGTCAAAGCCAAAAGCGATACCAATGGCAGGTTTTGATTCGATGAAGCTGCTTGCAGCACTCTCCTATGCAAGGGAGTCAGCAGCCTCATTGCATTCCAGGCCAGTATGGCCAGGAATCCCGACTAGAGACAATCTGTTGAGTCTTTCTATCGAGGAGAATCATTTTTGGCAAATTTGCTACCGATGAAGACGTTGCTTGGTAGGAGTCGAGAGCTTTAAACGCCGCTTGACTGTCCGAGAATATTATTATTGACTTGTGTTTGAGGTTGAATTCTTCCAATCTCTCCGCACACAATTCAATAGTCGCATAGGTTCCTAGGTAGGTTGATATCTCTGTCCTAGGTCTGCCACTGAAAACACCTGCACCAGAATCGGAAGGTGTTTTCGATTCATCTGTGAACCAACAACTATCTGCTCTTAATATTTTCCTCTCCCGGAGGATTAAGTCCTCTCCACTCGGGAACAGTACTTCATGAGGCAGTCCTAGTTGACAGTTGGAGGCATAATCTCAGAGGTCATTCCCAGAATGCTATGACTTCCAGTGTCGACCAGCTGTCTATTGTACTTTGCATTGGATTGATTTGTGCAATTGGAAATGTGCACGAGTCTATATGCAGTCCATCTAGCCTCTCTCTTCAGAAAAATGTGGAGAGAAGGTAGATCTAGATGGATCTACATAGCCGCTGACGATGTGGTACTGATGGCACCACTGATGGCCAGAAAATCCTGTCTCTGTAAACCAGAGAGCTTCTCCTGGGCCGTTTTCTGTAAAGCCTTCGGCCACCAGGCAGTTGCACTACAAATTATCATTGGTCTAACAATCATCACAAACCATTGAGTGCATAACATAACTGCTTCGAGGATTAGAACAAATGCGCTGGCAAAATTGAATTATATCTAAGGGGGACTACTTTGGAGTTGACAAAATAGAAGTTGATTAATGAAAAAATATTTTCTGAGGAAAATGAAAATTGACCCCATTGTGGAGAGAGTAATATTTTTTTTTTCAACTGTAGGAGTAGGCGTTTTATACACTCCGAGCTACACTGCAAATAATTTATTGATTGTCATAACGTTTTCACGACCATTCTCCATTCTGATAGTACCGACGATTCACAAAATGACACCAGGACATTTTTGTTCAGTTCAACTATCCTAAGAATTGAATTGAATGAAAAGGCATTTCTAAGAATGAGCTCTGTTACATATTTGCTTTTCAGTTAAAGTAACAGAATCAAGTCAGATTTTTTCGATTATTTATAGAATTCCTCAAAATAGAATATTGAATTCCTTTAGTTTGAAAAATACCACCATAATTTCATTACCGAAATGAAAAAACAGGAATTTACTGTTCAACAACATCAGCGAGGAATGGAAAAGCAGCAAAAATCATTATAATGATTGATTTCAAGAGAAAACAGTACTTTTACCTGAAGACCTAAATTGAAGGGGGTATAATTTTACCAGAGGTTGATTTTTGTACGAAGATAGAGGAGTGAAAAACTAGAAATTGTGTACCTCTGAAACCAGATTCTGCTGAAGATGTACGCCTTTCAATTCGAACAAGTTTCCTATGGCTGGGATTGAAGCAAATAAGCGAATGAATGTCATCACGTACTTACATCGATGACATGAGTAAATTCAGCTCATCAGTGACATGAAATCGTGATTTCATGTCAACAAAACAAACACTTCTTTCAGAAACCAGGATCTCAACGCGCATTCTTTTAATGAACTCTGCATCTTCGAAATATAAGTCTACTTTTTCCACTGACGACGCAACTTAGCCGTTTGAAAACCGTACTTGTAACAAATAACCAGAGAGAGATATTGAGAAACGATATTATGAGTCATACAACATTGAAGTTTTTCGAAACTTAAATTCATGGTTTGCGGCAAATAAGTTATTCATGAATGTTGATAAAACTGTTCTGATCCGTTTCCATAACAGACAGAAACATTATACACCAATCAGTTTCAAGATTAATGAGAGGGGAGATTCTGTAACGACAGGCACCGAAAGTACCAAATTCCTGGGACTTCATATCGACCAATGTTTGAGCTGGCATAATCATTGTGAATTTTTAATGAAGAAGTTGAATTCGATAACATTTCAGCTCAGAAATTTAAGACAAGTGTTAAACATTAGTCATTTGCTGACGCTGTATTATGCTCAAGTTGAGTCCAGACTCAGATATGGCCTATGTTTCTGGGGATTATCGTCACGTTGGAATGAGGTTTTCCTAGTGCAAAAAAAAACTCTGAGAACAATAACACGATTGTCAACTAGGGATTGCTGCAAAAATGTGTTCGTTAATTTTAATATTCTAACATTGCCTTGTTTGTTAATATTTGAACAGTGTTTACATGTTTTTAAAAATGACAATGAAATCTTTCTGATGAATAGATGTATCCGCAATGTGAATACTTGTCAAAATAATAATTTGTTTGTACCATATGCTAGAACGAAGCTGGCTTATAACTCACCAAATCTGATGGCTCCCCGAATATTCAACCATTTGCCAATGAATATAAGAGAGAGAGAGCAGGTCTCAAGCCGAATTCAAATATCGCTTGAAATATTTTTTATGTTCTCATAGTTTTTATACTATTGAAGAGTACATGTCCCATCAGTTTGTAAGTAGTACCTAAGATTTTATCACTGACAATGTATATTTGTCAACAGGAAAAAAAAAATTAAAAATATTTTGGTGTCCCCCAATAATATCGCTCGATATTTGAAATAGAAAGATTTAGACATACAGCAACTTCAATGGAAAAAATGAAGCCCAAACTAACTGTTAGATGAATCAGGAATATAAGAGTTGATTTGTGGTTCTTGACCAAACGGGTAGAACCTTTTTTCGAAGAACAAAATATCATAGGAGTATTTTCTTGAATTTTAAGACCAATTCCATAATTGTAAATAAGCTTTCGGTAGAGATAAATGGGTTTTATCACGACTAGCACGTGTTACATTTGAGAAAGGAAGGTTTGAAAAGTAAATCTCTTGGAATACTTGTAAATTAGTCGGTTCAAATTGTAATGAGTGGTCATTTTTGTTTTTGACATTATTGTAAGGTCTCCTCATTCTTTGAGAACCGTAGAAAAAAAGTAAGCACTTTTGTTCATACCTGCATGGTTTGGAACAACGCAACTATACAGGGGTGATTCAGTTTCGACATTATCTTAGCCTCTCGACAAAGGTTGCGGATAACATAGTCTTCTTTAATCTGGTTCACGTCCATTATTTTGATAGCAACCTGAAACAAAGAGTAGAAATTAGATGAAGAGATCTATGATCACAATCCATTAGGTATGTATTCAGATGATTTTAGAACTGTTGTAAAAATATATTGTATACGACAAAAAAATAACTAACAGAGACACACGATTTTTCGACATTTTTAATACGCTTCATAATATTTTCAGTTAACATTCTCCTCACATCAAAATTGTATAATTATGGATTACGAGGTGTAACATTAGAATGGATTTCCTCCTTTTTGAAACACCTTCATCAGTACGTATGTATTCAAAATATCCAATTTGAAAGGGTTGCTTTCGTCAATTCAAAGAGTGAAGCCATTAATATGGGTATACCACAAGGATCGATCCTAGGAACTATTTTATTCATATCGTGCTCTAACGATCTGGACAAATTATTGAAAGGCGTTCATGTAACAATGTATGCAGACGACACGTCAATGATAATTTCACAAAAAAACGAATTCAATATGATACAGAAAAAGCTCTAGAACTGATGCAGGACTGGTGCTATACAACTTCTCTGAATTTGAACGCTCATAAAACCCTAATTATACGATTTCATAACTATCAAAGAAGATGCGGTCCTCTCAGAATTAAAATGAGTGGTGATGTATCCATTCACAGTACAGATGAAACCAATTTTCTTGAACTTTTTGTTGATGAAAATGAATACAAACTATACAAACTTGAAAAAAAGATTGAATTCTGTATTTTTCATGTTCAGGAATCTCAAACATATACTTGAAATACCTCACCTAGTGGTTCTATACCATGCTCATGTCACGAATTAGGTTTGAAATATGTTTGTAGATAAATTCCAGTTCCAGTGGCAAAAAATGTTCATTCTATATAAAAAAAAATATTAAAAATAATAGCTTAGGTGCCTAGTTCATATTCCTGTAGGGACCTTTTCAAACATTTTAGAATTTTGACCCTCATGTGTGTCTATATTTATGAATTATCCGGCTTTATAAATTTTTTTTAAGGGAGATTTTCACTTCGTAAATACATGCCAAAGAAAAAATTACCACATTCCATTCACATAATATAAGGTCTCTGACGATGCACCTACAATTATGGGTCTATCTATTTACTATTATCTACCTAAAAGTATAAAAGAAGCCAAATATTAAAAAAAAATTCAGTAGCTCCCTCAAACAATTACTGGCTGAAAAATGTTTCGACTTGTTGGAAGAATATTTCAATAGCTATTTATATCATACACGTATATAAGTATAAGTGTATGTGTGTGTATAAGTATTTTTATTTTCACTTTTATATATCTTTATTCTTAAATGACTGTGCTCTTGCATTATACAGTGTGTCCAAGATAAGGATCCTAAGCATGGGAATCTCAGTACCTGTTGGAGATACAGCTTAGGTTGAATTAGGAAAAAGCTGTGTTCTTTAAAGCTTATTTACATGCCGTTTAGAAACGTGAAAAATTTTCATGGACTGCTGAGATATTTGGGAAAAACGAGAATTTGACAATATCAATTTTATTTTTTTCTGACTTTATTTGAAAATATATCAAAAAACGAATAACACTAACTTTATTTTTTTATATGACCCGAAACAAAAGTACACCCTGTATCTGATTCCATTTTTTATTACGAATTCAACGATGTATCACATGCCATTGTTTTCTTTTTAGTTTAAAGGAAAATTACATTTTTTCTATTTTAAAAAAAATCTTTAAGTAGGCGTTGCAAACAAATGCTTTGACGTAAATACCTGTCACCGAGCCTGTCAAATATTATTTAATTACACGATAAAATAGTAATTGTCGTTGTTGTTAGCCTGTTTGTCGAGTTGTTGTTTTTAGAGTTATTGTTACTGTTGTCGTTATTATTGTTTATTGTTGAATNACACACTGTATATTGACCATTCCTATACATTTTATATGTATTATATCATAATACTAATAATTATTATTATTTAACCTCTCTGTATCAAATAGATAACATAGAGTTACATATATCGCAATTATTCCATTTCATAAAAGAAAAATTGAAGTAGAGGAAATCATTTGCACTTCATTCGGACTGTATTCAAAGAATTATTTATGTATGAGGATCTATGAGTGCTAAAATGGTCTCCATAAATCCTTCATTGGTAAGTATTTCTATTGAGGCGGTCGGTTTTTATGTCAGAAAACTTCGGGATGGAATTTATAGCCAGATTAGGAACGTTTGATTAATTTTATTGAAGTAATTTTGTGACTCTCCAGTTACTTATAGCAATTTGCGGTGTAAAAGGCCCAAATTCATGACTACAAGCTGGAAGAGAATATTTTATCTCATTTCAATTGATGAACTATCATTATATGGACTCCAGTACAACTGAGAAAACTAGTGTTGTATTGGAAATTGAATATATTTTGTGAAGATTCGTGAAATTTCTTATGAATAGTTTTGATAATTTTCGACAAGTTATTGGTCAGTTGAATCAAAATTTGAATCCTTTACAAGGTGGCTCATTTCGAAAAGTTCTCCCAAAATATTTTCATGCCAAACCTGGACACAAGATAATTCACATTCAAGAATGAGATGTTTATTATCAGCGGAATGGAAATCCACATAATTACAAAAGTTGTCGAATTTGTTTCAGTCACCAGCACTACGATACTCTTTTTGACGCATATTTGATCAACCAAGTTAGCTTCAATTCAATTCCATTCGTTTATTACCTTTTTTGCCATAACAAATATGTTAGGTTCGTTAATGAACAAATAGATGAAAATAGTTTATCCATACAAATTATGTAATACTCATGAATATGAATACTTATATCTATTTAAAATCAATTTTTCCGTTAACCAGCTGTCGCACCCCTTCGAACGACAACCCTCAGAAGTCGAAACTTGTGCGAGCTAAAGATTAAGAGGTCTTACCTTTTAACGTGTGATTCCTGATACTTATATGTATGTACTTATACAAATGTACATCAATTTTCAACTGAATGGAAAAAATCATCAATTGCATATATAGGATCATTGATCAATAGATTTTCTACACTTGTTTTTAGTGGTTTGGTGGAAGTTTTTCCTATATTTCTTAACAGCTCATCTTTTAGGTGTATATTATTGTAAATTCCCAGTGTATTTCATCCTCCTGAATGACTAACTTTAGTATCATATCGTAGGGACATAACAAAATGCCACTGCTAGCTGAATGATCATGAAATTTGAAATTGATCTTTGAATTTTCGTTATTACAATGTATCTCAATGAGACTCTGGTATATGTGTTGAATGTTGCCCCGTTGGTAACTCCAACTGCTCTTTTTCGAAGTTGAAATGTTCATAAAGCTTATCTAGAATTGCATTTTAGTTTATTGCCACAGCATATGAAGCGAAGTGAAGTTTTGTATATGAATGATTCACTATTCAAAAGCTTTTTCAACTGTGTTAACAGTCGATGTTTTTCAGACCTACATCAGGATTTCTGTCGCCGAAAATTTGCACTGGCTACTGATATTAGAGCATCGACATAGAAGGGACAATTGTGTTGCTATCAGGAGAGGAAAATATCGGATGTATGGTATTTACCAATTGATCTGTGTACTGTTATCCACAAAAGCAGTTTAATCGACCGTATTTCGTTGGTTTTAGTCAGGGCTTCAGTACAGGTAGAGCTCTTGCTACTGTTATACAAGATACACTAGATTTTTCGAAAGCATTCGATACCATTAATCATGAGCTGATTTATATACTACTCATATATTTTGGTTATGATAGCGCTGCCTTCTTCCACATCTGGTTGTTTTGTTGATATACCTCAAAAAGTATTTCATCTGGAGTACCGCAAGGTTCCATTCTGGGACCTTTTTCGTTCATCATTTACAATACTGACATTATCTCGTCTACCAGGAATTGTAAAATACAACCTCGAGCTGATGAAATATAGTTATATATGTATTTTAAACTCGATGAGTATACTGAGGTACAGAACCTTTTTAAAGCTGATCTAGATTTGATCAATTATTTATCGAGTAAACATGATTTGGAAGTTGATCCTGATGAAACAATGATGGATTGCAGAAGAATCGTAAATTTGTAGAAAACAAATAACATTTAAAACTAGTTCATACTATCTGACTTCTCTTGATACAGATAAAAACTTAGAGGTGATGCTTCGCACCCACCTTAGATTCACTGATCATGTTGAAAATTTAATGAAAAAAAACTTAAGGGTGATGCTTGACACTGATCTTAGATTCACTAGTCATGTTAAAAATTTGATGAGAAGAGCTTGTATATCATTGAAACTGTTATACTGCAATCATTTTATTTGTAGCCAATCTTTCAAAAATGCTCTGTGATAGTTTGGTGCTAAGCCAGTTCAGTAACTTCATATATGGGTTATATGATTCAGATAAAAAATAATCCAAAAAGTTCAAAGTTCTTAATTTTTTCAAATTCTTCAATGTCGCCGCATCCATAAAGGTTATTAGCGGTGTAGTACAATTTGAATCTTTATACAATTATATTAGATGTAGGTACAATATTGATAGATATCAGATACTTTAGTAAAATCTCAAATTTATCTGGATTCGAAGCATTCAGAGTTCAAAGAGAGGAATTCCTTTCCTGGTTATTTCTTTTGTGGCGATTGATATACCAGCCATTTCTGTTTAAACCACGCTGCTATGAACATAATTTATTTTCGATACTGTGGAACTCTACAAATTTTTATCTAAGCAATTGAAGAGATTCAATATCAGGAAATTCAAACAATGATGTAAATTTTTGCTCATTGGACAAATCAATAATGAATGAGCAACAGATCAATTTGATTCATCAACTCTTATGGGATAATCACCAATTATTATTCTTATTATTTTTCTCTTGTTGTGGTACCATCACCGTTAATTGTTCATTTAGAATTTCTGTATATTCGCATTCATTATGGAGTGGTGCTTGTTGGTTGAGTTTGAGTAGCTCTGAGCTTGAATTCGCCAATGAGTACCAGAGTCTCTTGTAACTTTATTTT